AGCGGCCCTGGAACGCCGACCGCTCCAGCCCCCGGTCTCCCCGCCGCGGGGACCCTGCGCGCTGTCTCCGCAGGGGTCCCCAGGGCAGCCGAGGCCCTCCCCGCGCGCCGGCCACCCAGGTCCCGCCGCCAGCCCGATGACCCCTGGCTCTCCCTACCATCACTCCCCAGGGTGGGGGTGGGGGGAGCGGGGTGGAGGGAAAGGATGGCGCGGGGGCGCCACCTTAAAGCTGACCTTTCGCCGTCACCATAAATTGTTCTGTTCATTAAAGTGGCTATAAAAAGTGTAGTTGTGAGACTGGGTGTGCAGGCGAGGACCTGACCAAGAGGGCACATGCCCGCGCAGACACAGCGCTGTAGAGGCACTCCTACAGTCCAAGGCGGTGGTTCTCAGGGTGTGATTCCCCGGGCCAGCAGCTGCAGCATCACCTCGGGACGTGTTAGAAATGTAGCTAGTAAGAAACTCTGGGGTAGGGCCCAGCAATCAGTCTCTTAATCAGCCCTCCAGGTGATTCTGAGACACGCCAAAGTTTGAGAACCACTGGTCTAGGGCTGGGAAACAGGAGTTGGCAGTTTTAGGGTGATTATTATTCTCAGTTACCGCCAGACAGTGAACCCTTCTTTTGGTGACCTAAAATTCCCTGGCAGCAGCGGGTGAGAAATGTCCCCATCACTCAGCTCAAAGCTTGGAGCTGCCGAAGACAAGCCGTCCTTCTCTGTGTCTTGCAGCCCAAGGAAACGACACGGGCCCATCATTCCCTCACGGGGCGCCCATGCAGGGAGGGAGTGAGGAAAAAGAGCAAAAGAGCCATGCAGAATTAGCATCCGAAGACACTTACCCATAAACATTTGCACATTTCCCCTCTAATCTGTCAACGTGAACTGATCTGCAGCTCTCAGCGGAGGAGGTGAGAAGGCGACCGGATATCTGGGGTTTCTGGACCATCCTTAAGCTGGACGTGAGGAGCTGCAGTCCTCTCGTCTGATGCTGTCGTTTACTAGCAGGCGCACCAGGACATAGTATATGGAAAGGCTGTGCACATAGGTTCCTCCAGTCTCTCCCTCTCCCCCACCTCCTGGCCCTGTTTGCTCCAGCCGCCCCCCACCCCCAACAACATACTCCCTGCCTTAAATGGGTAGCTGATGGTAAGGTTCTCTAAGTTTCTCCTCTAGGACAAACTCATCCTCCAAGAGTCCCCAAATGAAGCCCAGAAACAAACCCACACACCCTTGTTAGAAAACTTTAATCTGATTTTTAAAGGAATCTCTGGAATGGCCTGTGTTTCAAAGCTGTGCAGCAGACTGAATCTCTTTGAGGACCTCCATCCCCCCTCAATAAAAGAGCAAGGTATATCCACCGGCCAGTTGGATCATCCACTATAATTTTATTTTAAATCATGATAGACAGATTGCGTGAAAAACAAGGAATTCCGAAGAATTTCCTGCTCTGGGAACAGAAGTTAAGTCTATATTTAACAACATTTGAAGCTGTCAAGAATGCTTTGTGGTTGGATAACAGAGGCAGAAAAATGTTAAAAACGCAGGCTACTGCTATACCCAAATATGGAAATATTGTTACGTCTGGTGTCTGATTCACCATCTGGAAATACTTACAACCATGAAGTCAAATAGAAAAGACTCCACAACAGAAGCCAGGAACACTCCTCTCCATTCTCTCCCCACGACCTCCTCCCACCCTCTGCGCCTACTCACCCCCATCCCTAGTCACTTCATTAAGAGGGAAACAATAATGAAGCTTTAATGCAGGAAAAAAAAAAGTGTTCCAAATAATAATGGATGGACTGTCTTGAGTACGAAGTAGGGCCCAGATTTTCCTCTTTATTTGCATAGCACCTGACAAGCCATAGTCTTGAAAAGTAAGCCCCGCACCCCAAACCCCCTCCGACAAAGCCTTAGAGATCCTACTCCCAACTAGCAAAAGCCTCTTAGACTTATGAAAGGGCACTTTTGAATGAATGAAACTTAAATCTTTCCTGCCACAGTTCTCTTTATTGGAGGATGTTTTCACTGCAATAGCTTCTCATTGTGATTACCAGAGTCATTCACAGAAAAGTTGGCACTGAAGGACTTCTTAAGCAAGACTGCTACATTGTGAAGACTGAGCAGCCCTACACTTTAAAAAGGACGAAGAGTTCTAGAGCACATATAAAAGAAAGATTAGCATAATTACTTGTGTATGTTTTTATTAAAATTGCACAAGAAGATAGTTTTTGAAATTTTGAGGGAAAATTTATCAATCACACTAATGATATTGATGATGTTAAAGCAAATTGCTTTGTAGGGGAGTCTTCTACTGAGTGTGTGGAAGACAGAATAGGATCTTATATTCTGCTAACAGTTTTACTGCAGAACATTATATTCTAATCTATTTCTTTGTACTTGACTAGAAAAGCATTGCAATCCATTTGAAATGGGAGGCTTCTAAGTGGTCCCAAGGAAATGTGTTAAAAACCCCACATAACTTTTAGCTTTAGATCCACTGGGCACAATGGTGCTGGAATCTGGTTTGGCATTGCAGTATACACAGGTGATGATCTCAGGACAAATCACTGCAAGGTGGTCACCCCGGCTTTTGGCTGGCTGCTTAGTTAGCATCGCCTCCCGCCCGCGGAGGGAGGCTGGAAGGGCTTACCCAGTCTCCCGCATCCGTGAGGAAGTAGAAGTCAGCCTCCCGGAGAATTCCCTGCGTTCGTTTCCTCTCGGACTTCCAACCCAGGCAGTGGGCTGGAACTAAAGTGGGAACCTCCAAAAACAAACAAGTACGACATACCAAAAAAGGGAGGGGGGCGGAAGGGGGAAGACCTCTGCCTGGGAATCTGCCAGACAGTGGGGGAAGTTGATTTTTTTTTTCCTCTTCTCATTCATAAATGCCAGTGCGGGTATTAATTTGCAATACATTTAACTTGGCTAATAAACACCATGCCAAAGCTTTGGGACTTGATTCGAGCATGCCTCTATGAAATCCCCAAATAGTCCTGGCTCACAGACGCACTCCCCCTCCCCGTTCACCTCTCAATAGATAACTTGACTCTCACCTTCTCTGTAAACAAGCAAACAGCTCGCTGCCTTCCCGGGTGAGGGCTTCCAGGGCTGCCCGGTCAACTCGGCATCACCAAACAAAACCACTTTTGTTCCTCCCTCCCAGGTCCTCCCACCCTCCCAGTGCAGGCAAAGTTCTGAACTCGCCCCCCTCGCCCCTTCCACCACTTTCACCACCAACACGCCAGAAAGAGCCCTCCCCAATAGAAGTAGTTATTTAAAGTGGAAAAAATGGGAGATTGTTTTCTTGACGGATCCAGGACCAAAAAAAAAAAAAAAAAAAAAAAGAAAAAAAAAAAAAAAAAAGGTGCAACGGAGCCAGGGGAGGTGCTTGGCAGCAGCCCGCGCCAACCAGCATTCCTGAGATGTTTGAGAATTCTGGAACTCGCAGACAGAGCCGACGTCACTGCAACACGCGGCGCCGCGGCCGGCCCGTATAAAAGGCGGGCTCTGGGCGCTGGGGCAGACCGCGAGCGAGAGCGCCCCCGAGCAGCACCCGCGCCCTTCGCGCCTCCTCGGGAAGGACCTCAACAGAAGGACGCCTGCAGCCCGCTCGCCACCCCGGCCCTCGCCTTCCTGCCACCAGGCCCGCCGCCCCGCCGCCCGGACCGGAGCCCGACCCGCCTCCCGCCGCCCGGAGCCCGGGACCCGACCCCGTCCGCTGTGCACCAGTGTGTCGGCGTCTTTGCTTCCGCGCTCGTCCGGACTCTGCGCGCCACAATGAGCTCCCGCACGGCCAGGACGCTCGCCTTCGCCGTCACCCTTCTCCACTTGGCCAGGCTGGTGAGTTCTTTTGCCTCCGCTTCCCCATCCGCTCTCCCAGGTCCTTCCCCTTTCCCCAGATTGCCCCCAGCAGAGAAAACTAAACTCAAAAGTTCGGGGGCCTTCTTTAGGCGCCCCCCCACACACACACAGAGACGCGTCGGGGGCCTTGCTGGCAGCCGCAGCCGCCCGGACTGGCCGGGTGGACAGGATCAGAGACCCCGTGCGGACAGGGTCGGAGGAACTCCTCCACCCCCCTCCCTTCCCTGGGCTCCTCTGCGAACCGCGCCGAGTCTCACGCGTGCCTTCTGTCCCCCTCTAGGCGCTCTCCACCTGCCCCGCCGCCTGCCACTGCCCCCAGGAGGCGCCCAAGTGCGCCCCAGGAGTCGGGCTGGTCTGGGACGACTGTGGCTGCTGTAAGGTCTGCGCCAAGCAGCTCAACGAGGACTGCAGCAAAATGCAGCCCTGCGACCACACCAAGGGGCTGGAATGCAATTTCGGCGCCAGTTCCACCGCACTGAAGGGGATCTGCAGAGGTAAGATGCTTATGGTTTGGCCCCTTTAAAAAAATAATAGTCCTCGTAGTCCAGAAGTTTAGTAATTTTGAGACCATGTATGGTGATGCTTTGTTGTTGGTAGCTTGGCAGAAAGGCACATGATTTCAGCAGTCTGGAATGCAATTCAGTGTGTCTGGGCCCAACGAAAAGCGCATACGGAAAAGTGATTCCTGACTAACTTATTGTTCTGGTCTGGAGTCCCCGAGGAATTGTAGGGAACTTTACCATAAATTGAATTTAACAGCAGAAAATATGTATGCGTTTCAGGCCATGGTTGGGAATCTAAACTTTAACCTCTTTTCCCTTTCTCTTTCGGTGCTCTTTGCAGCTCAGTCAGAGGGCAGACCCTGTGAATATAACTCCAGAATCTACCAGAACGGGGAAAGTTTCCAGCCCAACTGTAAACATCAGTGCACATGTATCGACGGCGCTGTAGGCTGCATTCCTCTGTGTCCCCAAGAACTCTCTCTCCCCAACCTGGGCTGTTCCAACCCCCGGCTGGTCAAAGTTACCGGGCAGTGCTGTGAGGAGTGGGTCTGTGACGAGGATGGTGCCAAGGACCCCGTGGACGACAGGGATGGCCTCCTGGGCAAGGGGCTGGCCTTCGATGCCTCGGAGGTGGAGTTAACCAGAAACAATGAATTAATCGCCGTTGGAAAAGGTGGCTCCCTGAAGCGGCTCCCAGGTAAGCTGAGACTGAGCCCGAAAGATGTTGTGCTGAAACACATTCCTAGTTTGGAGCTTTGTAGAAATGAGTACTTGAACGTGCTGGGGTCAGTGTGCCTCTGAGAGATTTGTCCTCTTGTCTGTCTCTAGTTTTTGGAACGGAACCTCGAATCCTATACAACCCTTCTTTACACGGCCAGAAATGTATCGTTCAAACAACTTCGTGGTCCCAGTGCTCCAAGACCTGCGGCACTGGGATCTCCACACGAGTCACCAATGACAACCTTGAATGTCGCCTGGTGAAGGAGACCCGGATTTGTGAAGTGCGGCCTTGTGGCCTGCCGATGTACGGCAGCCTGAAAGTAAGCTCGTGGGGGTGCTGGTAGCCCCCTCCCCGGCAGGCAGCTGGGCCGAGATGCGGGCCTCTCGTCCAAGAACGAGAAACCCCCCGTTCCTAACTTTCCTTCTTGCTCCTCTCTTACAGAAGGGCAAGAAATGCAGCAAGACCAAGAAATCCCCCGAACCTGTCAAGTTTACTTACGCTGGATGTTCGAGCGTCAAGAAGTACCGGCCCAAGTACTGCGGCTCGTGCGTGGACGGCCGGTGCTGCACGCCTCAGCAGACCCGCACCGTGAAGATGCGCTTCCGCTGCGAAGACGGGGAGGCGTTTTCCAAGAACGTCATGATGATCCAGTCCTGCAAGTGCAACTACAACTGCCCGCATGCCAACGAGGCGGCCTTTCCCTTCTACAGGCTGTTCAATGACATTCACAAATTTAGGGACTAATTGCTACCCGGGTTTCCGGAATTGCTACCAGGGTGACCGGAACTGGGGAGAAGAGGGCCAGAATCACGGAGCTATGGGTGGGGGCGGTGGGGGTGAGGGACTCATTGTAGAAGGGATGCACTGCTCATTCGTGAGTAGTACTAAGGTATTTTGAAACTGCCAAGGGTGCTGGTGCAGATGGACACTTAATGCAGCCACAATTGGAGAATACTTCGCTTCATAATATTGGAGCACACATTACTGCTTCATTTTGGAGCTTGTGCCGTTGATGACGTTCTGTTTTCTGTTTGTAAATTATTTGGTAAGCATATTTTTCTCTAGGCTTTTTTTCCTTTCGGTTCTACAGTTGTTAAAAAAAAAAAACAAAACGGTTAGTTGATCAGTTAAAGCCTTCATCTTTTGACAGAAGTAAATGGGAAGGGGGTTCCATCCCTTCCTGGAGGTGACACTCTGTGAGTGTCCGTGAGAGGCAGCTATCTGCACTCTAAACTGCAAACAGAAATCAGGTGTTTTAAGACTGAATGTTTTTATTTATCAAAAGTGTAGCTTTTGGGGAGGGAAGGGAAATGTAATACTGGAATAATTTGTAAATGATTTTAATTTTATATTCAGTGAAAAGAATTTATTTATGGAATTAATCATTTAATAAAGAAATATTTACCTAATACCTGCGTGTGTGGCATTCAGTATTTTTAGAGACTACCCAGAGTCATTGGGAAGAGCCTAGCTTATTGTGCATCCTTTCAGTCATTCAAACAGAACTACTTGAGTGCCGACTTTGTGCCAGGAACTGTTCTAGGAGCTTAGGGTAAGAGCAGGGAACTAACCTACAAAAATAAGACAATGATTGCTTTTATCTTCAGCTGAGAAAAATCTTTGCATTTAAAGTGATCTTTTTAAAACATGTATTGAATATGAGGCATTGTAGGAAGCACAAGGAATCTGAAGCTAAATTTGTGATTTAAATAATAATGCTTTATTTTCCTAAGAATTCAAAGCCAAAGGATCTCCATCACCCCATCACTGCATGGTGGGTATAGTAGAGTCATTTATCATTTTAATCACTAGGTTATTAGGCTTGTCACCTCGGTAGAGGAGAGAAACTTCAATGAAAACAGTCCATAACCCAGGCTGCCCATATCTAAATCCATGGGCAAGATTAAGTATGGTTGGATAATGTGTTATAAAAGGTCACTTGTTTATAACTTTATATTTTCCCAATATTGCTCCTAAAGCATAGGCGAACTACTTAAAAATCCATCCTTAGTTGGGATCAGAGAAAAAAAATCTTGGGAGTCTATAGGAGTCAGTTTGTTTTCACTGAATGAGCTTGAAGCAATGACTTGTGTTAATCCTAATAAGCCAGTGATTAGGTAAACATGCTGTTAAATGCAAAGGAATGCAAGGAATTTCAAGTACTTTTCCAATAGCGTGAGGACCGAGCTACCCCATCCCCCCTTTCCTTTTTATAATATACGTTATACTGATGGAGGAGGGAGCAGTTAGATAGAGTTGGCTATCCAGAAGGTCAAAGGCTAGATGCAGAGCATTCCTAAAAGAAAAGGACCTCAATCTTAGGTCTAGGAGAGGTTGAGAAGGCTGCGTCAATGTTTGTGAAAATGTTGGTAGCCTGTTTTAGAAGAATCCACCTCTTTAGAAAGCACTGACAATAAACCTTTTATAGAGGAGTTTTCCTTTCATCGACCCTCTTGGCTCTTGTTCAAATCCATAGTGAAATATTTCGGTCTGCACTTGGTTAAGAGAGTACTTGAATTTTTAGGCATCGAGAAAGTGCTTTGAAAGAGGAGGAGGGGGACAGCTCGTGGTGATTTTTCAAAACAGTTTAATATCGATGCTTTAATGAAGACCTACGGAAATGCACTGCCCAAGCATCTATGTTAAAACCTTACTGAAATGCATAAAGGTTAATAGAAATGTGATGGTAAAAATCTATGGGCAAAGGCTCTTCTGATTTTGGCAATGTCTTGCCTGAAATATGACAACTTGTACCTACTGAGTTGTCAGTTTTTCTTGCCTGAGGCATTCAAATTTTAAGGTATTTGGGAACTGAAACACCACCTGGTGCAGTCTTGGATGCAGTTAAACTTAGTGCAATATTAACACGTGAAACAATAAAAGTGTGAGGTTTTTGTTGTGCAGTCTCGTTGAACAGACATCTAAATTCACAGGAAAGATTTTCACATTCCCAGGCAGCAATCCTGAGGTCTTTTCCTCCGACACTGAAGCCTAGCAAATTGCTTCTTACATAGAGATCAAAGAGTAATATGTTATAGATCCTTTAAGTGTGTAGGGAGGTAATATGTATACAAAGAAGCTCAAATGCGAAATAAAACCAGACATGGGAAAATACTGGATCTTTGGGTCATTAATCGTATTGTAGTAAATATAGTAAGAGTGATGCATAAATGCTGATTCCATTTAAATAAGAGTGCTCAATTAATAAAGATGAATAGA